TAGTTCTTAATAATAAACAATATTTTAATATCTTTAGTCTTCTTTTAGGTAAATTTTTGTACTTTATTTTTTTATAACTAGAGATAGAACTATATGCAAGAGTTTTTGATGAGTATATTCTCTAATAAAGAGATATTTTATTTGTATTCTAGATATTATCAAGTGTATACTCTTCATATATTGTTTGAAGATGCTCTCTGTATCTATTCAGAGATTCTGTTGATGGGAAACTAGTAGCCTTACCATTTCTAATATACTAATAGAGGCTAAATCATTGTTAAAAATTATTAACCCAGCTAGTATCTTTAAAATCAGTAATGTTTAGAGCTGTAGAAAGGTATTAGCCTTAGTAAGTAGGGCTGTTTGATTTAAATCTATATTTGCTATAAGAATGCTTTCTACCCAAACATACATAGCTTCATCTAACTTAAGCTATTTTAGTTGATAATTGTGTTTACAGTTTGCCTCAGCTTAGTTGGTTGTATTGATGTTTAACTATTTAGAAGATTGTTTAAGAATATTAGATATACATATCTTTTTAACACCATAATCTTCTGCAAGTTTAGTGTTCAGAATAGATAGAAATTTCTGTTTTTTTTTACAAATTTCCTTCTTTTCTTCAGCTATAAGATACTTTTTTTTAACAAGTGCTTCAACTTTGGTTATCATTTTTTGTACAGTTAAATAAAATGCATTTGTGTTAAAAATTTGCAAATTTTTTTTCTTAAAAAAAAAATTACCTATGCATAAATTCTGTATATACTGTACCTACAACTTTACTACAAGATAACTTAGAGGCATTCGATTCTGTAATTCTGTAATATTGGTAAACAAAAAATTAATGAAAAATATTCAGAAGTTCACTCGAGCTATTAGAGTTATAAACTCTAAAGCTGATAGTCCTACTTAAGATTAAACCTTAAATGTTTATTTGATAAGTTTTTTTTTTGTATTGTAAATTCTTTTTATTTAATTTTTTTTTTTTAATTTTTTTTTTATTTTTTTTTTTAATTTTTTTTTTAATTTTTT